AATACTAGCACTAAATAAAGTTATTCAAAAAAGCTAATGAGTCGAAGGGGGAGGGGGGTATCAAAAATACTGGCACTAAATAAAGTTATTAAAAAAAGCTAATGAGTCGAAGGGGGAGGAGAGTAAAAAAATTACTAGTACTAAATAAAGTTTTTAAAAAAAGCTAATGAGTTGAAGGGAGAGGGGGGTTATGAAACTTGACTCTGACAGATCGTCTCATAAGTTCTTGTTGACATTTCACTGGCATGTGTGAACATATTATTCCAGTAACATAGTACTCCGTTCTACTGGCATGTGTATTTACTTGATTCTTTTGTTATCTCTAAAATAGAGGAAATGCATTATGCAGTTCTTACAAATTGAATTCTACAATAGTTTGTGAATTCTGACCACCTTTATTGCGACTGTATTTTAAAACTATCTTCTTTATTTGATAATAAAATGTCGATTGAAAATTTTATAAAAGTTGTAAATATTCGTATCTATTTTTGTATTTTTCCATCTTTTTTTTATGTCTGTCTACTATTTTTAATCTTAATTTATTGCAGTTTTATTTTCTATTATTACATTATGGTGGCAAAGCCTGATTTTAAAAATTTACTGGATAAGCTCAAATTTTATATAAGACCAGAATATTTTTTATTCAAATGTTGAATATGAAAAATGTTGGGATTTGCCACAAATGATAAAATGAAATTTTTAGTACAATTGTAAAGATTGAGATAACTTATGTGCATCGAATTGCATTGATTTTTTATTATAAGATGTTGAAAATGATTCACCAATTTGTGTCAATTAGTATTAGACGAGAAACGACATTACATTCTTCAAAGTTTTAATAATTTTGTAAATAAATGGAAAATTTTCATATTACCACGTTTTTTTATTTATCTCGATTTCCTGTACTTTACGCACTAAAAATAAATTTAATGATTTTTGAAAATCTAATAAGTACTAAGGACGTAGTTTGTTCGCAATCAGAGTACTTTGTAAAATACTGAAATAGAGACCAATCTTCGGCCTAAAATTGGGTAACACGAAGAAAAGCGCCATCTGTATTTCATAGTTTACAACTTTCTTTCTTT